CAGGAAGCCCATAGGGGAAGGACGTCGGGCTTGGAGAAGCAACAGGAAGACGTGGGCTGCTTGGACTCACCCCTTTTCCACTGGCCTTTGAGCCGGAGGGAGAGAGACCAGGCTGAGGCGCTTCCTGGACCAGGCCTCCTCCCAGCCCTTTGCGCCCCCCGCCCCCCCAAGTGAGGACAGGGCGTGTCATTTAACCTAAGTGGTGACTCATCGCCCCCTCCCCCGCTTCCAGCAGCATCGATGACCAGCTCCTGCTCCCACCTCTGCTGGAGCCCTGCCCCACCCAACTCCCAGCTACCTTGCAAGACTCTATTCGGGCGCGAATCAGCACATCCACGGAGGCCGCCCGGCCCAGCACCTGCCGCCACCCCAGACCCAGAGTCAGGCTGGGCCACCCCCCAGCACCCCGGAGTGCTCTTGGCCAACCTCCCGGAAGCATCCATTACTCTCAGTTGGAACTTCCTGCTTAAGGTCTACATTCTCCAGACCTCTGGACCAGTTCTGCTCATTTTTTTCCATCTCACCTCTACCATACTATCTTACTTACTTAGTTATTATATGTCTGGGGCTTAGCTAGCTCCCTAAATTAGCATGTAAGCTCCTCAACCGTACCATTCATCTGCTCTGTTCACTGCAATATCCCAAGCACCGAGAGCAGCAACCTGGCGGGTGGAAGCAGCTCGGGGGCTGTGTGCTGGATGAAAAAAATAAAGCATTTCCCTCACTAGACTATTTGCCTTTTGAGATCGGGGACCGTCTTAACCCTGTAACCCAGAGTGGCAGGCAGAATAATGCCCCCACCCCAAAGAGTGCATGTCCTAACCTCCGGAACCTGAGAACGGTTCCCTTACGTGGACATTAGCCCATGTGATTGAGTCGATGACCTGGAGATGGGAGAAGATCCTGGATTATCCAGGTGGGTCCAAGGTAGGCACAAGCGTCCTTAAAGGAGGGAGGAGGTTGGTCAGACTTGGAGAGGGCTATGTGACGACAGAGGCAGAGAGAGGTCAGAGCGATGGATGTGGGACGATCCGGGCCTGCCTTTGCTGGCTTTGGAGATGGAAGAAGGGAACCGCAGTGAAGGAATACTGGGTGGCCCCTGGGCCGGAAAAAGCAAGACAGGGGTTCTTCCCAGAAGGAAGGCAGCTGTCGACGCCTTGATGTCAGCCCAGTGAAGCCCATTTCAGACTTCTGACCTCAAGAACTGAAAGATCATCAATTTGTGTTGTTTTAAGCCATTGAGTTTGTGGTGATTTGTTGCAGCCGGGATAGGAAACGGACACCCCCAGGGACTGAACACACTGCAGCTGGGCAGTGAATGTCTGCTAAACGGAGGTCGGGAATTTCCAGTAAAATGTCACTTTCAGTCTCTAAAATAAATTTCAACCCACAGGACAGCAAAGAGTGATTTAAGCCATGAGCCAACGGTGATGGTGGTTGTTGTTTTCACTGGTCTTTCTTTTCCTTTTGATAACTAATTTTGACTCAGAGATGCTTGTGATAATATTTCCCCTCTGCTGGTACGTCTTACATTCAAATTCAACCTACTTAGGCAGCTTTATTAATCAAATATAAGCCTCCTCCTCATAAAACCCTAAAGCAAAATTTTTTTAAAGAAAAACAAAAAAAAGAAACCAATTTATTTAATGAAAACTGGTCTTAACAAACAAGTAAGTAGCTGCATTCAAAGTTGTCATGTGACTTCTCAGGCCAGGCTGGTGAGGCACATGCAAGGTTTCTTCTTTCTGAACATTTCCAAATGCTCCATCCCCATGAATCTATTTTTAATGCTGACACTTGGGGAAAGAGAGAAGTGATGGGAAATCATTGAGGACTCATTTCTGTGTCCAACTGAAAATTTAAATGGTCTTAATTATGGCCAAATCCTTCCCATGTCTCATTAACAACTAAGAAGAAAACAACCTAAGAAACACCCTCAGCTCTTAGCTTTCCAATCCCCTCAGCCTACCTACCAGGCCTGTTAGTATTTTCATCCCAGAAAATGAGAATCCCTAAAGACTGGAGATTAATAAATAACTTTCAGTTACCACTGATAAACTTTGATATGTGAGATTCTTTTCAATTTACATTAATATATCATGAAAAAATTATAAACAGAGCATATAACTAATTTTTTATATGGGAAAGAAATCTTGAAATTTTTAAACATCCAGAATGGATTCACATACAACCCAGAATTTATTTGTGGCCTTTTGGAAGAGATATAGATAGATAAATAGATAGATATAAAATAGGAAACTTTTAAAAGATCTCAAAATATGCTATCCAATAGTAATTGAAAATCATTTTTTCTACAATATATAGTACAAACTTTATGACAATGTGTTCTTGCTATTTCTTCTACAGGATATAATTGGAGAATCAAAACATAAAGCCCACAGCATACTCCATCCTACTTAATAAACATTTACTGAGCTACTACGATGTGTGAGACCTTGAGCTGGAGAAGGACGAAGTCCCCAACATCAAGGGCTCCCCACAGGGTGAAGGGACAACATTACTGCTTCCCAACAGGTGCACCAGGGTCCACATTTGAGTGGCTTAAGGACACTCAATAAACAGATATAATTTCTCTACTGAAAAATCCTAAACCACAGTTTAATGAAAAGAAAAAAAGTTGAAATGGATTCATTTCTCTAATAAAAACAGCTACATTTAAACTGAAATAAGACAACTGAATCCAGAGGGCATCTCTTCACCTAGGAGAGCCTGACACAATGCAATCCCTTTGCCATCGGAGTGGGCGTCTGATGTCTCCCGCCCGTCGGTCCATTCATCCAATCTCCCATCCATCATTTATCAACAGCCTCGGTGTGCCAGGTGCCAACCAGGTGGACAGGAGAATGACTAGGACACACGTCCTCGGGAACATTTCCAAATGCAGTTACTCAAGACTGTGCTAAACAGTGCCACTCCTCTCAGCCCTGTGTTTCCCAATAAACCACGAGACTGAAGGGTGCCACTGTTTTCTGCCACTGCAAGCACTTTACACCTGTTTACACTGGCTGCGCCAGAGGCTCACCTGCCTTATCCCTTGTCATGCTGTCACTCTAGCGTCTCAGAGCACATTTAAGCTGTACCCTTCACCCGCAACCTCATGTATCACCGCATCGCCTGCGACGTGCAATAAATCACGTCTCTAAGTAACAGCAAATCAATCCACTTCCTAGAAGGAAGATACAAGTCACAATCAGTGGCGCCTCCCTACAATTCTCTAAAGGATTTGGCGTGTACGAAACATCCAAAGTTCTCCTATACCCTTCTTGAAGTGCCGGGTCTAGCTCAGGACTCCACATGCCGTGATGTAAACGAGGAGTTTCAGAAGAGATTTACAAGACAATCTGAAGATTGCAGTCTAATAAATACAAAGAAAAGCTGCAAGAGTGTCTGGCCTAGAGGTGTATGAGTCTGTTCCCAAACAGTGCAGAACACCAGGGCCCTGCAGCCTGAAACATCAAACTCCTACTGTCCTGACTTCTGTCCAGGGTCTCGTTGACAGAAAGCATACTAATGGAGGAGGGTTTCCAGACCACGCGGTCCAAACGTTCATCTAGAGGCGCCAAGTCTTGTCTGTGGATCCAGAAATCCAGAGGTGAACCAGCATATGTACTAATTCCCCCGCGAACTGCTCAGCCTGAATTTCATGCTTTGTGCTGTGGCCCGGGCACACCTGGGGGACGGTCATGGAGACAGCCCTGGGAAGTCCACCGAGTCATCAAAGGCAGGTCGCGGGGGACACGTCACTCAGGGATGCGAGAGCCGAATTAAGAGATTATTAGTTACTTGCCAAGAAAAACTTACCTCTTCCGCTGTTAAGTGCTTCACGCTTCCTTCTTGTTTTTTGTTTTCAGATTCGGAACCAAGTGTACAGCAGAACTGGGATCATTCTAGTAACGCCCACCTCTCCCAGGTCTGTGAGCAGATGTCAGACAGCTGCCCCAGCAGCCCTTCATAAAACAGTCCCCAACACCCCGGCTCCTCGGCCCACGCCCCTCCCCCTTTCTTGTTTTACTTTTTTCCACTGCTCCTGTTCACCATTTGACAGCCTTTCTGTCTTACTTAGCTTTTTCCCAGGAAAGCAACCACTTTGATGGCAAACATCGGTTCTCTCCTGGAACCCCAGCAATGAGAACACTGCGGGCACTTAACTACACGCTTCCTGAGTGAATCACTGAAAGATGGATAACCGTGTAAAACTCTGTGCTCTGCAATTCAACCTCTCCATGAACGTGAAGTTTGATTCTAAACCACACACCCGGGGTCTGCCCTGGTTCTGATGTGCTTTCTGTTGTTTTTGCTTTTTTAAGTATTTGTGTTAAGCCAGCTCAAATCTTGTGTACAGTGAAGCAGGAGAGAGTAGAGAGAGAGGTACAGACAGATACAAAGGATGATCTGATTATCACACACGCCGCATCCTAACAGATGGCAAAGTCTCCCCTGAGGTTAGAAGGAGAGGAAATGAACCAAACAGTATGACAATTAACTAGAGTAACCCTTATTCAAACACTGGCCAGCTTCTTCCTATCAGTCTAGTTCAGTCATCCTGCGCTGATTCCGTCTGATGATGTTTAACACTTAAGAGGCCAGTCCCTCCTGGCCTCCCTGGCTGTCCCCCCAGTGGCCCTGCTCCACAGACTCCGGCCTTAGGGACCGAGGCTGCTTTTGACCATAGATGCGTCCAAATGCATCCATATCACGCTCGTTTCACTCTGGGATGCCTTTCATTGAAAGGAAATGAATCAAGTTTCCAGAACTTTTTGAAATATACTACACCTTTCCCCTACAACACAGCCTCACATATGGCGCTACCGCAGATACAATCCCATGATAATAAGAAGAAACCGCATGAGACTAGACCGATTTCATTCCAAATTCCACCTTAGACAGGTTAAAGCCCTGAAAACCTAAGGGGGCAGGGGAGAGAGAGGGTGTGTGTCAGCGCAAGGAGACAGTATTTAACGGGGAGGGCAAGGTCCTACCTGCTTCACGACAGTCACCGTCCCGGGCGCCATGGCAACCACCGAGGCAACGGCAGTGGCGTCGTGGGTCTCGGTGCCCAGCTCGATGATCTGCTGGAGGATGTTTACAGCCGTGGGGTCAAGTCGGTCACCTTGCCAGGAAGAAGCAAACAGGAGACCGGTAAGGCCGTGGGTGGTGAAGGTCACTGAACGCAAAAGCAGCCCTTAGCAGAGGCCATTCTTGTGCGGCGCCTGGTCCAGGGATGCACGGGTTCCCAGTAAGTGCTCATTTTGACCACAGAAATAATGTGCATGGTACTTCACAGCCAACAATGCAGTCTCTATAAGAACATCTCAAAACTCCAAACAACCTGCGAGGGGACGACATTGTGACACTATTATCCCCACTTTATAGATCAGTCACCTCACTGCAAAAAAATGGAAGAGGACTGTCTTAGGCCCTTGGGTCAGTTATGTCACAAAGCCAGGGCTCAAGCCCAGATGTTCTGAATCCAAACTTGTTGATACAGGACTGCCTCTCAAAACAGAAACTCCTGAGAAGCACCAGCTATGACGCCAAACCACAGAGCTGGTTCTCCTTGAGCACAGGCATGGGAGGTGCTCAGTGAGCGTGTGCCAGACACATTACACAGGATACGGCAGAGCACCAAAGGGTGCTCAGTCATCAAACCAGTGGGCTTTAGAATTCTAAATTAATGTAAGCTGAGGATTCTCTTTTAATCATCTCAAAAGACTGTAATCCATATCATCAGGGCAGCTACTGAGTGTACCCTCTCACTCAGCTCTCACCATCTGCTTGGCCATCTGTGACTCTCTGGAACACAGCACTCTGACCCTGATCATTACTTCACTAAGAGGGAAACTACTACCTGATTGATCTCCAGGCTAGCATAATATCATGAAGTCTCCACCAACGTCTACATACTCCTGGACGACTTTCTGCAGGCCACGTTCCAATGCAAATCAGTAAGTGATGAGGGAAGGGAATTCAACGTGTTCTACACAGAGGGTAGGACATGGCATACGACTGAGGCAATGACATTAGCACCTGTTCACCATGCACCAGCCTAGCATCCCCTACACACACCTATTCACACCTACACACACACTCTCCTTCAGCAGGGGGGCGGGTTTCAACTCTGCCTTGCAGCCAACCACTCTAAACATCTAAACACTAAACAAAATACTGACCTTAAAAAATGTACTGAAATAAGATTTTAATTCCTCATCCATTTACTCCCTCGATGACCATTTATCAAGCCCAAACTGTCAGCCAGGAACATGGTTCCCAGTGGGATACAGCAGGGGTCCCCAACCCCCGGGATCTAATGCCTGATGATCTGAGGTGGAGCTGATGTAACAGTAATCGAAATAAAGTTCACAATAAATGTAATGCGCTTGAATCATCCTGAAAGCATCCCCTCCCTCCATCCTTGGAAAAACTGTCTTCCACAGAAATGGTCCCTGGTGCCAGAAAGGCTGGGGACAGCTGGGATACAGACAAAGATCTAACGCTGCCTCCCCCCACCCCTTCCGGGCTCACAGGTGACTGAGACAGACCGTAATCAAATCATACAGCCCCTGGTCGGTTCCATATCAGGGGGGCAACTAGGGAGCTCTGTGGGAAAGTCAGGCGGGCTCCCGGGAGATGACACACCATCTGAATACTGAAGACGAAGATGTGTTCGCCAGAAAAAGTGCTGTGCGGGGAGGGGAACAGACCAGGCCCCAGAGGGCACAGGAGCGTGTGGGTGAGAAACACAGCTCACGCCGAGAACGGCAGAGTCTGGCCCAGGAGGGCACGGCTCCAAGGTGGCCAGAGATGCAGCGCAGGGAGGCCAGGGCCTAGAGCAGGTGGCCCGAATGCCGAGCTGCAGAGTCTGCCGTGTTTCCTAAGAGCCAGGAGGAGATGCCGAGGGCTGAAGGAGTGAGTGAGTGAGCGCTGGTGGGGATGAAGATGGACAGGCTGTCCTGGCAGGGCTTGAGCAATCACTGAAGTCACTGGACATGAGGAAGGAAACATGCACTGAGACATGGCGTCAGCTCTGGGAACCGCACCAAGAGCCGGCACCTTGACGCCCCATCTGCAGAGCCTGCTTCTCTCACAGGCTGCAGAGCTGTCTCCCGAATCCCCCGGTGAGCACAGCACCGGCAATGAATCTTCCCCAAAGTGACCGGCCCCAAGGGGTTTTCTGCATACCCTTCTTACAACCTGGGGTTTAGGGATGTAAGAGCTGGATGAAATGGCAATTTCCTGTCTCCCATCACCAGCTGACTTCACTTATGCTTCCTCTAATCCCACTTGCTTGACCTCTGTCCCCCAAATACCCCGAGGGCTGTGGTACATTATATTAACTCGTACTCCTTTCCTGTTTGGAAAAGAGCATCAAGGAAATGTTTTCTAAGCACAATGCCCCAGTTGCCACTAGGCTGGCACAGTGGTTTATTTTTTCAAATTGATCGAACATTTGAAACTGATGACATTTGACATAAAAATCCTGACTTGGGGCTTTTCAGAAGAACTGGGAAGTGGGCAGTCCCAACAAGAAGTCAGGAGAAGTCAGGAGACCTCGATTCCAAGACCAGCTCCAACACCCAACAAGTGGACGATCCTCAGCCAGCCGTCACAAGGAGGCAACCTTCCGCATCTGTGAAGTGAGGGCAATAGGACCTGCTTCTCCCTGCTCTGAGAGGTGATCCTACGTGTGAACACCCGGCAACCCCGTCAGGCGGCACCACGTTGGCTGGGGCCCTGTTCTAGAACACTGCAGGAGAGCTCCACCTCCAAGCCTGACAATGGGACCGCTCCAGTGGTCAGAATGCAGTGGAAGGAGAGCAACTGGCAGACCTAATTCATCCGTAAAGTCATTCATTCAGCGTGTCTATCAAAGACCAGTTCTGAGGTGTCAGAGGGAGGCGGGGGGCACGCTCTCACCACTGTCTGAGGTGTATCTCAGGTCCTGGAGGGCAGCCACCGCTGCCTGTGTGCCCTGGACGTCCTCTTCGGCTTCGGTGATATGCAGGTACTGGGTGGAGGGCTCCTCCGGAGTTTCTGTTGCTGGCTAAATAAAAACACAGCATCATCCATGTGACCTTCTAGAAGATCACCTATTACCCAGAAGTCCCAGGATAATGGATTAAGACAAAACAAATGCACATAAGCAATGCTTTTGCAGCAGCTCATTAAGCAGGCACCCCTGAGAAATCAGTGCTCCAGTAAAAACCTACTTCCCAAAGACAAAACTTCTCTTTGCAAGTGCCGAGACTTTTTAAAACCAGCGTCGGTGGAAAGCTTCCTGCAACACGTTCTTGCCGTAGGGAACAGAGTATGCTGTTCATAACTAGAGATGACACACGCTCAGAGGTTCTCGTGTGTGCTCTTCTGCTGTCTCCTCTGCTCTTCCCATGGCCACCAACACTGCCCTTATCTCCCCTGTGCCCGGGCCTCCTGCCGTGAGGAAGGCCGAGAGGAAGGCACAGCAGTGGTGACGGTGGAAGGGAGGAGAGGACGGGTAATCACATAACACTCGGCAAGCTTCGAGCACGGGTCCCGGCACAGAGCGAGATCTCGGCAAATCTTAGCTACTCATGCTGCTCTGATTATAGGAAGGATATGAGAAATACAACTGACCAGAGAAAATACAGCTGTGCAAAATCAGGACTCATGAGAGTACGAGAAGCTAAAGAGACAGTCACAGGTATCTTATACCTAAGGAGAGAAGAGGTGGGATGGAATTTTCACAAGAACTAGATATTGATAATCACCTCCTTCTGGAACTGCAAGGCAGGAAACATGGATGTCACCAATAAAGAAGAACAAAAAGGGGATTTTACATACAATTTATAGGAGCCAAAGCGATCACTCTCTACAAGCACTTATCAGTTACTCACACAGGTTCAGAATAGAATGGGATTATTCTTTTACAGCCAAGTGGTCAAGTTCATTTAGGCATTTCCAGCCTGACATTTAGTAGACACCCAATAAATGTCTGATGAATGCATAAATGAACAAACAGAAGCATATTTCCTTTTAAGTACCATTAAGCAGCACAGTGGCCAACACTGACTGGATCCGAGGAATGGCTTAGCCTGCGATGAACAGGATGGGCATGGACTGGCTTCCCCTCTTTGGGGTACTCTTTGTAATAACCATCTGTGGGAAGGACAATGCTTTACAGGGCATTCCTGGGAGGCTGGCAACAGCCCAGCTGCTGTTAACAGGCAGCTTGTCGTCACACGGGGACCACCCCCTGCCCAGCTTCTTAGCTGCTCTACTGTCTCACTTCTGGAGTCCAGTGCGTGGCTTGGTGTCAGCTATTTTTATTGAGTCACAGTTCTGCTGAAGGTGTCAGGATCTGTAAGGAGTGAGACCTCCAGAGGAGAGCGCCATGACTGCACTAACGAAAGCACCAGCTGGCCAGGAGAGATGGTGCTCTACATCAGGAACTGGCATTCCCATGTCTATGTGTAACAGAGAGCAAATCCTTGCAAGTATGAGCTTGGAACACCAGAGGGCTGACTGTTTCCCACAGATGAGGATGTGACGTTGATGCTGGTGGCACCACCACCTCCAATAACCATGCCATTTACTGTAGGCCTACTGGGGACTGGACAGTAACCCCGGCGTTTTATAGACAGTGCTTTAACATACTCCTTAAATTTTCTTATAGAAAATGTCAAACATACACAAGACAGAGAGGTGAACTTCCGTGTACACATCACCCAATCTCAACAATCATCACCTCATGGCCAGTCCTGTTTTGCCTATCTCCCCATGCACTCCACACAACTGTCCTTTGATTTTGAAGCAAATGTGGATGTCATATCAATTTATCTATAAATATTTTAGAATGTATCTGTAAAAGGTAAAACTCTTTCAAACCATAACTACAACACCACCGTCACACTCAAAACACTTAATAGGGCTTCCCTGGTGGCACAGTGGCTGAGAGTCCGCCTGCCGATGCAGGGGACACGGGTTCGTGCCCCGGTCCAAGAAGATCCCACATGCCGCGGAGCGGCTGGGCCCGTAAGCCATGGCCGCTGAGCTTGCGCGTCCGGAGCCTGTGCTCCGCAGCGGGAGAGGCCACAGCAGTGAGAGGCCCACATACCACAAAAAGAAAAAACAAACAAAAAAAACCACACTTAACAGTAGTTCCTTAGTATCTTCACATATCTAAATGGTGTTCTAATTTCCCCAATTACCTCATTTTTTCACAACTTGTTCTACAAATCATATTTAAGTAAGTTATTGAAATCCACATATTAGAACTGACTGATAAAAGTCTCATAAGACTTGTATTTATAGGCTCTCCCTCCACTCTTTCTCCCCTGCTTATAGTTTTGTTGGGAAAAGTGGTCGTTTGCCTTCAGCGTTTCCAACAGTCTGGGTTTTGCTGACTGCACCAACATGGAATCATTGAATATGTTCCCTTGTCCACGGTATTTCCTGTAAACTGGAAGTCAGACGCAGAAGCTTAATTAGGTATCAGTTCCCTTTCTGGCAAGAAGGCTCCACGGGTTAACACAGTGTCCTTCCATCAGGAGACACTATGTCTGAGTGTCTCTGTTTTTGCCATGATGGCATGACATCAGTGGAGGGTTGCAAAACGGCAATACTGTAAATCTTCATTTGTTAGCTGGAGTACTTCTATAAAAAAACGTCTCTTCACAAACATTCGGTTACCCTGAGATATAGTTTATTTAGATGAGGTAGAAAAACTGTTTGATTCTGAGCCTTTATTTACCAAAACAGAGTTTTATTTATCAAAATAGAGTCGATTCCCTAATATCCTACAAAGGTGACTAAGGATTTTTCTCCCAGTATCATTATAAACTCATGGATTTAAACACACTTGATGTGCTTCACTCCAGTCTGTAAACACTAACAACAGCCTTGGAGTAACAATATCAACCCTACCACTGACGGTGGAATAACTGAAAACAGGACTTTTTTTGCAGTTCTTTTTGCCCTTAGGTTATATCCCACTAGGGAGGAACAATCAAATTTCTATCTTAAAGTCTCTTGAAATAGTCCTTCTCTATGTAGTTCTGCCATCGTTTTGATATATAGTTCAGATACTTTATTTCATTCTATTCTCAATTTTTAGGGTTAGGGTTTGCTTTTTAAAGTGTAATTTTGTTTTTATTATTACATAAGAAATGTATTTCTTATATTTATATCAGAGTTCCAGAGTCAAATCTGCACAGTCGGTCTCTGCTAAGACAAGTTTAGCTTCTCTCCTACCCTCTCCATCTTATCTCCCTGCCTTTTCTACCTGTGCTTTCCTCCCTTTTTATAACTTTTATTTTGAAATAATTTTAGATTTACAAAAGAGTTCCAAAAAAAATACAGAGACTTCCCACATAGCCTTCATCCCACTTCCCCTAATACTGACATCTGCTGTAACCATGGTACAATGATCGAACTAAGATATCAACATTGGTACAATACCAGATTCCACTGGCTTTTCCACTGGCATCCTTTTTCTGAGGACCCCACAGTGCATTGAGCAGTCACAACTCCAAAGTCTCCTCCAACCTCTGACAGTTCTTCAGACACTCCTGAAGAGAACTGGTCAGGCATCTGGCCATCCACATCATCACATCAGCTGGATACGTCGGATGGTCTCCCATGATCAGGTGGAGGCTGAGGATGTTTTGAAGAGCACCACGAGGTGACTGCCCTTCTGATCACATCGTATCAGGGGGTACATGAAGTCACTACGTCTTACTACTGAGGATGCTGACCTCGATCACGTGGTTAAGGTGGTGCCTGCCAGGTGTCTCCACTGTAAAGTTACTACTTTTCCCTCTATAATTAATAATTATTTAGGGGGAGATACTTTGAGGCTACATAAATACTGTATTTCTCCTTAAACTTCTGTCTACTATTTCTAGCATTCATCAATGGATCTTGCCTGCTGCAATTATTACTGTGGTGTTCCAATGGTGATTTTCTATTTCCCTCATTCTTTCTACATTTATTAATCAGCATTCTTCTGCGGGGAAGAACTGTTCCTTCTCCACCATTTATTCAATCATTTATTTATGTCAGTATGAATGCAGAGATATTTATTCTATTCTTTCAGTTTTAGTCCAACACCATCATGAGTTACTTTGTTACTCAAATTGTTCCAGCTCTGGCCCATTAGGAACTCTTTGGTTTGTCTCGTGTGTCCTTTCGGCATGCCTCCATCTTATTTTTGTGGAGCACGTTGTTACTTTCTAGTACTGCAAAATGCTCCAGGGTCAACTTACATAATTTCTGCCTCAGCCCTGGAATCAACCACTTTTCAAAGGGACTCTGGTTCCTTTTGTTGGATTATCCTGAGAATCCAAGATCTGGATTCTAGGTGTACTCATTGCCAGCGGCATGTCACTGCTTCTAAGCCCTCTAAGCACGAAAAGCTAAGAAATACATGTATGTATACTAACCACGTATACACATATATCTGGAACTATTTCTACATCAATCTATTGGTGTATGCACACACACACACACACACACACACACACACACACACACACACACACAAAATCTATCTACATGTTATATATAACAGTGCTGCAATAAATAGCCTTGTGCAATCACCTTTCCTCATTTTTTTTTTTTTTTCCCCAGTATGCGGGCCTCTCACTGTTGTGGCCTCTCCCGCTGCGGAGCACAGGCTCTGGACGCGCAGGCTCAGCGGCCATGGCTCACGGGCCTAGCTGTTCTGTGGCATGTGGGATCTTCCCGGACCGGGGCATGAACCCGTGTCCCCTGCATCGGCAGGCGGACTCTCAACCACTGCGCCACCAGGGAAGCCCCACCTTTCCTCATTTTTGTCAGTATAACTTTGGGATAATTTTCTAACGGTGGGATCGTCTAGTTAATGGAAAAAGAAACACATATGTAATTTTAGTAGATACTGCTAAATTCCCCTTCATAAAGGTCACATCGTTTTGCATTCCCACCAGCAATGCATGAGAGTGCATATTTCCCTTCAGCCTCTCCAGCAGAGATGATGTCAAAACTTTTGGATTCTTGCCAGTCTACTAGGTAAGAAATTCTATCTCTGTCAAGTTTTACTTACATTTATTATGTGGGAGGTTGATCGTGCTTTCAGATATTCAAGGTCATTTGCATTTCTTTTTCTATGAACCTTTCTTATCTTTCGCCCATTGGGCTGTCGATCTTTTTCATCAGTATTTCTAGAAGCCTTTTATAATGTAAAGATATTCACCCTTTTTTCTAAGATATGACTGAAAATATTTTTTTGGCATTTGCCCCTCTACTTCTTGAGTTCTTTTACATAGTAGTTTTAAAATTTTTTTACGTGGTCAATTTTTTTTCAGTCTTTTCCCTAACTGAATCTGGATTTTGAGTTACAGTTAGGAAAGTTCTCCACACTCCCAATTTATAAATGAATTCACTTATGTTTTCTTCTCGTATTTGTAAAATATCTCTTTTTTTAAATCTCTGTTCCTTTGCTCTAGGTTCTCTCTATAGATAACTCATTGACTATTGTATATTGATGTTTTAATCTGCTGCTTATTGTGTGTAGTAGATTTTCAAAAACATAATCCTGTGTCTACAGAGATACTTTATTTCTTCTCTTCGATTCTTATGTCTCTATTTACTCTGCCTTTGTCCAACACACCAGCTGAGGCCTCCCACGTGATGCTAAAAACCAGAGCCCCTGGGGCACCCTCATCCTGTTCCCAACTCTAACAAGAAACCCCCTAGTCTAGGATGACAGCTTTTGGGCTGAAACACATACATTTTGCTTTTCATCTTAAAGATGTATTCATCAAATTCTACTTTATTGACTGTTTTTAATCAATGGATGCTGAATTTTGTCAAATTTTCATAGATGCCTTTTCTGCATCTATGAAGATGATCATTTCACTTTTCTCCCTAGTCCTCTCATTATGATGGGCTACATGGACACATTAACACATTCCCTCCTACTGGACAACCCTTCCCCTGAATTCTGGAACACTTCTCACATTGTCATGATGTATTATTGTTTTTCATGGGGTGTTGGATTTGTTTCAAAGCCCTTATTCTTAACTGGAGTAAGCCCACTGGATACTCTAATGCCCTAGAAAGTTCTCAGGAAGTGGTTCTCAATTGGGGGTGACTTTGACTCCTGGGGCACACTGGCAATGTCTGTGATAGTCTGGTTTTCACAGCTGGGTATGCGAATGGATCCTAGTGGGTAGAAGTCAGTGATACTACGAAACATTCTAAAATGCACAGCACAGCCCTCTACCACGAAGAATTATCCGGGTCATAACTTTAGCAGGACTCAGTTTGAGATACTCTGCCTAAGGTAAACTGCAATCTCGTGTGACCCCTGGTACTTGAAAAGAGAAACAACTATTGGCTTTTAAAATACAGCTACTGGCTTTTATATAATTCAGTCAGGAAACTGGTTCCAACACCTGAGGGGAAAACAAAGGTGACGGGTAGAAGCACATGCCTCCGGTAGGACAGGAGGGCCTAGAAGCAGCAAATGGGCCCTGCCCTGCCCTCTGGGTGAGGACTGCCAGGATATGCCCTGTGTGCATTCTGCTTTCAGATGCCACTTCTGAAACTCTGAATTCGTGATAACAGAAGTGAAAATATCGACGAGTCCAACACAGACGTTCAGAAACCAGCCTAAACGCAGCCCAGAGTAAGAAGTCACATGCGTGGCCTGGCTCTCACCCAGTGGTACCCCTCAGATATGAGACAGCGTTTGAAAAGATTTCCAAGTTTCCCAACCAGAAAACCCACTGCTCTGAGGAACTGCACTGGGCTTGCCTGGTTTGTCATCTGCGTTTAGGAAAGGCACAATCGATACCATGCTTTTAAAAGTACCTCCCACTTGGGATCTCCTTCGTTCTCCACCAACTTCAGGCCATGCTTGTTCTTCAAGTGCCTGTTGAACTCCCATTTGGTGCCATAGACGAAGCTGCACACAGGACACTTCAAACAACCTGAAAGCACAGACACAGGTAAAAAGAAGCATTCACAACACATGAATTCTGCCTTGCATTCAAACGCTCCAAATCTAAGGGATGTACTTTTTTGTCTCCAGTACTCACTTTCAATCCAAGCTTACCTTAATATTAAACAGAATAGCAACAGTATATGTGTTTTTCAGGGCAAAGGTTTAAAACTTAATGCATTTCTTTTCGCTTATTAAATGAGAATTTGCAGTGAGCCTAATACACACGTAATATTTTAGGTGCCAGAGAGAATTAAGATGAGTAACATAATTCCCTTGGCCAAGTGGCTGAACAGCTTAAATGATTTTTCCATGTTTTATTCGAAAATAACAAATCATTTGGAAAGCAAAAAATAACTGAAGGACAATGGGTGCTTTTCTCAATCTCCTTCATCCTAAAACACTAAGACCAAGGGCCAGATTCTCAGTCTCCTTCACATCAGAAGGGGAGACAGTGATATAAATTCCCATGTAAATATCCCGCCAAAGGACAAATGAAAAAGCTGGTCACATCCTGAAATGTCACTATTTATTTAATTGATTAAATCTTACACATGGTCCAGGAAGTATCTGGATGCTTTCGTTAAGAGAATATAAAACTGTAGGATAAAAAAAGAAAAACCAAAAAAACCGACACACAAAGTCACACAAAGACTATCTTTCTAAAATTGTATCAGAAGCAGCAACTAAATTAGGAGCTGGACAAAAATCACTTATTTATTTGTCTGTTTATATGAAGTAGAGTTGATTTACAATGTTGTGTTAGTTTCAGGTGTACAGCAAAGGGATTTAACAGGCTGTGCTTCCAGAAGCAAACTCTAGCCCCTCAGGAGGCTAACTGTAGTCCCGGCATCAGGCCTCCAAATCTACCAGACATTTAGCAGGCCAGAGCCAGGCTAAGTGCTGGCACCCTCAGCTGGCCGGGGCAGTGAGATGGGACCACCAGGCACCTACTGGTCTCCCCGCAGCCACTGTTTGTCTGCTCTACACCCAGCACACAAATAAAAACTCAAACAAAATTACATCTCACATAGGTGTAAGACCCTCTACTGCCTTCCCATCACACCCAGAATAAAACCCCAGCTCCTTGCTGTGGCCTGTGACCCCAGTGGCCTGGTCCCTGCCTCCCTCTCCAGGCTTGTCCCCTCCCCTTCCCCCCCATCCTCGCCTTTCTCTGTCTTTTGCATTCCTCAAGCTCCTTCTCTTCTCAGGACACCTGCTGCTGTTGTCAGTCTGTCTGCTGACCCGGTCCCCTGTCTCTGCTGGACCTGCTGTGCTTCCCTGTGCCCTCCCAGCGTCAGTATTTATTTCTTGCTCACTGGGGCACTAAGGAGGGAGGGAGAGGAATTCTGTCCTCATGACAAGGTGTCAACAAATTATATAAGAACTAGACAAATCTCATGGTACACATCACCTAATTTAAGTATCTCCTAGATGCAGCTGGGATGTGTTAGCTCTCCTGAATCAATTCCATGTCAGTGACTCTCAGAGAGCACCGTTCTGTAACCGGGGTTTCCTGTCTCTCACCTGAGGTGGTGGGCGATTCCCCAGAAAGTCATGAGAAGGAACGGAAGCCAACCCAGGTGGCCGACAGCACAGCCCCTTAAACTTCCGGCCTCCCACGCCGGGAGGGCACAGGAGAGCACAGCAGGTCCAACAGAGACAGGGACCAGAGTCAGCGCAAAGACCAGCAACAGACACCAATTCTGAACTTCCAGAACATTCTACAGAAAAGGCAGCTCAAACAGATGCTTGTTTTCTGAAACTCAAATACACTGCACTCTTTTTTTAGGCAAAATCAAGTGGGCTTGCTCTTTCTTGCCCAGAGGATAATTAAACTTACTTTTTAACCTTCTTTGTTATTGCTTATTAATCATCTAAAATGAAATATTTTCCTACAATCATCTTTTAAAACCCTCCAAGGTATGAGAACCACTACCTTTTCTTTTGGTTAAGCTGACATTGCTTCTATAAAGACTTAATACGAGGCAATGAACACAAGCAAACTACCTAAGGTTAAATTTAGGCTTTAAAATGAAATTGAAGGTTCCTTCTGGGCTATTCTTTAACAGAAACTAATTTAGGGAGAAAAACATCCTTATATTATGTTTAAATTAAAATTAATATGAGAATGCCTCCACATTAATTAAAACGTCCGTCCACCTTTGCCATGGTGGCTTTAATTAAAGAACAACAAAGGGAAATATGTAATCTAGACCCAAGGTGTGACTACGCCAGTTAATTGACGTTAAAGCTGGGAAATATTAATTTTCATTTCAATTCATTAAATGCTTAGGCCACACTCAGTAAAGGTCACGGGGAGGCCTGCTGAATTTGCTTGCAGCATTGATATCAAGTGTGCACCATAAAACCCTAAACATCCCCCCCACCGGCCAAGTCGCAAGTTCCTCCTGAGGAAAGACAAACCAGGCCAGAGGATAGAATTTCAGGAGCAATTTTAAAATTCCATCATGGAGCCCTTTGTTCTTTTGGGGTGCAGTATATTCTGGAGGAATTTTGAGCATTAAACTATTTGCACTCCTTTGCAGTGGCTGACATTATGGAAAACTCCATTTCATTTTCAGTAATATAACTCCCAGAATGGCAGGGGACACCGGGTTGGACAGTCAGAAGACCTGAATTTGGCACTTGCTCACGTGACTCAGAACCACTTCCTTAAATTCTCTGGGTCTTGGTTTTCTCTTCTACCAAGGTAAAAATGCTAAAGCCTGTATCCTTATAAAAGGCAGCGAGGTCAGCAGAACAATGGGCCCCCCAAAGATATTCACATCCTAATCCCTGGAACATGTGACTATGCGACCTCCCATGGCAAAAGAGATCTCAAAGGTAGGATTCACGTAAGGATCTTGAGATGGGGGATTATTCTGGACTATCTGGATGGGCCTAATGTAATCACAAGGGTCCTTCTAAGAGGGGAGTGGGAGAGCAGATCCCAGTGACGTAACCTGAGAAAGACTGCTGGCTTTGGAGGACAGGGCACGAGCCAAGGAATGTGGGCAGTGTCTAGAAGCTGGAAAAGGCAAGAAAACAGATCCTCCCCGAGAGACTCCAGAAGGAATACAGACTTGTTAGCAAACTTGACTTCAGCCTGTGAGACCCATCTTGGACTCCTGACCTTCAGAATGGTAAGATCATAAATCCGTGTTGCTTTAAACTACCGCCAAGTTTGTGGTCATTTATTACAGCAGCAATAAGAAACTAATACAGGCACTCAAGGGTAACTGGACCAAAAGCAGCTTAATTATCAAAGGAAAGTGGATACAGAGTAATTTGATTTTATTAACAAGTGAAATACGAAATTGGACTTGGGAAATACTGCAGAGGAAAAACCAAGTGCATTTGACTATAAGCCAGGCTGACGTTCCAAACCCCAGTGAGGAACTGGTAAACGGAGCTTAAGCAAGGTCTCCCCCATCCCTCCTGGTCCCCTCACACACTCCTCAGAATCTTGGCATCTGAGATCCAGCACACCGGTGGTGAAAGCCAGACTCTGAATCAGGACCCCGGTCTGGCTTGACCACCGGCTCACTTTGTGGCCGGGGCCGGTCCTTTTCCCTCCCTACGCTTCCTCATTTTAAAATGGAAATGATGACGCCAACCCCACAGGGCTTCGTGAGAGAGAAGATAACATATAAAATAACAACCAACAACACAGTGTAGCATCACAGCACTGGAAGCACCTGCCAATAATGTATGGGATCTAGGCCCTAATAAAAACAATTTTAAAATAAAAATGTCCAAAAGTCAAATAAAGGACTTTGGGTTAACTGATAGTTTCTGGATTTTCTTCTATACTGTTTTCCCTGAATCTGGTGTGCAAGTACATCTAAGGTACGGATGTACACGTATTTATACTTTTCTAATACAATTGTTCAAAATAACGCAAAGATCTTAGCAGATGCCACAAAACTAAGCCTTCTCCTGGTCCGCTTCCTCACATCTTATCTTAATTACCTACCCTTCCTCAATGATCCCCTCTAACGGGGAGCCTGAGTTAAGGCACACCACCCAGGAGAAGCAGATGATTTTCCTCCCATGAGCAGCATGGGGCCTGTTAAAAGGAACGTGTACTTTCTGTTAGAGGATAAGAACACGGAGGCACTGCCCAGCCTCTGTCTCCAACCCAGGCAGGAAGCGCAACAATGCTACCACAGCCCAGTGCCTTGCACAGTGTGGGACACATGAGGGGCTCAAGGTGCACCATGAAGAAGGACTTTGGGAATAAACATGATAGGGAATTGGAACCATTTATCAGGCACTTGTTACATGTCAGGCATGGTCTGGAATCTTCAAGAATAAGATCTCATCTTTGCAACCTGATGCTCAAAGAAGGTAAGTAACTGGTCCAGGGGCCACAGTGATCACAGACCCACCTCCACGGTCTGTGCTCCTAACCCTCCGCTCGTGCCAACTGCCTGGGGCGACTTGAAGGAGGGCCTTGAGGTCACCGGAAAAGGACCAGCCCGCTAAGCCCCATCGTTAGCCCACCGTGAGCTCCAGGAATGAGCTGAGAGTTTGTGACACTTAGCATCAAAGCATCGGATGCCTTTCACAACCTGTGATTTAGTGAACCAGCTCCTGAGCTAGCTTCATCAGGGGCATTTTAAAAGGAGGAAAGGGGGCAGACCCACTGAAGCGATACAATGTGAAAAATGTGTAGTTTGTGGGAAAACGCCTCGAATCCATATTAATGAACAAGTGATGGGCTGAGAAGAATAAACAAGAGATTGTCTGATCTGCTTTCAAAATATGAGAAGTACATAAAACATAAGCAGGGAATAAAACACTTAAGTAGCATTGAGTACAAGTCTAACTGCCAAAAAGCACTGGAGCCCGAGGGGACTGCTGCCTCCTGATGGGGCCCAGCTGGCATGCGGCTGGAAGCGGCACCTGTGCCCCCAGGACCAGAGGTGTGCTGGGGCCGCTGGAACCATCTCTTCCCAGCTCAGCGACCTCACACTGGAAGCTTAAAATTGGCCCTGGCGGAAATATGCACGGCACAGAAATTGGCAAATGCTACGAATCAGGTTCCCTTCCCCCTGCCCCGGGAGAGCCAGCTGGTAAACACTCACAGAACACGAGTGGATGCCCTAGCAGCCCCCATTCCAGAGCTCGCTGAAAATGACCCAAACTCTGTGGAAAACACCATGTGCCTTCCATCAGAAACCTCAGCCTATTCGGCCTTCTTCCCGCCTCTCCTGCAGTGCTGTGCACGGACACCCTCCCCAAACCCCTGAGCATGGGGGCAGGAGAATCCTTCCCAGCAATTGATGGCTCTGCCTGTGTCACAGTGCGACACCGTTTAAACACAGCTGATGGACAAGGAGTCCCTGCATTGGTTTCAGGAGACTAGCATCGTTTTGATAAAACTGCATTTTATTTGTGGGTTTTTTATCACATCATCATTTTAACACATATTCCTCTATCTCAAAACAAGAAATTATAAAGTCCCACAAAGATATCTTTTGAGGAGTGATGTGAAGACGAAAATAAAACCAAGTGGGGATAGGGAGAACTACATGGAATTAATCAAAAGGAAATGAAAAATTCCAGTGGTACCAAACACCTCATCATTTCCAAAGACAGTCATTTTATCCAGCTCCACTTTCTCCCTGTCTCCTTCACTCTCCACAGCGAGCGCTGTGTGCTCTTGAGATCTCTGAGCTGCACTCACAGTCAACTGGCTCTCTGCTTTCAGAGACAGTTTTCCCGCCAACACACAATGGCACAATGTCTCCTATGAGCCAAGAGACATTTAGTTGTTTCCTTCCACAATATGTCTCTTAAAGGGGGGCATAGGAAAACTAAATAAACACACACACACACACACACACACACACACACACACACACACACAGGCCAAAAATAGCCCTGCAAAGATTAGAAATAAAACCCAGACCCTGTCAGGGAATGCCAATTGATTACAGAGAGTCTTGGAAAGTTAAGTGAAAACTTAGGGCATGAAGCAACTTGACCTCAGCACATTTTCTGCAAGGCAACGATGAAAGTTTGGAAGCATGGAGCTATGACAGTGTCATCAGTCAGATCCCCACGCCTGTCCCAACTGCCACAGTAAACGTCTATTTCCTGCCAATCCAACCCAAGAGTGTGAAGGATGCTAAAACGAATCGCTAGCCCGCTACTCCAATTATTTACTGTGACTCTAAGGCGATCTATCCTCTCCTCTGTGATTCCTAGACAGGGGAGTCATCAAAAATGATGCACCAGGGCTTCCCTGGTGGCGCAGTGGTTGAGGGTCCGCCTGCCGATGCAGGGGACACGGGTTCGTGCCCCGGTCCGGGAAGATCCCACATGCCGCGGAGTGGCTGGGCCCGTGAGCCATGGCCACTGAGCCTGCGCGTCCGGAGCCTGTGCTCCGCAACGGGAGAGGCCACAACAGTGAGAGGCCCGCGTACCGTAAAAAAAAAAAAAAAAATGATGCACCAGCTCTAGAAGGACTGGCATATTTTCAGAAAAACAAAACAAAACAAAACATAAAAACAAAAGAAAGGAATGAAAATGTATTGAGTGCCAGACACTCAAGTGTTCTCGTTTCACTCTCCCCGCCATCACAAGGGATGGCTGCTGTGAACCCCACCTGAGGTGCAGGGCCTCAGGTGGAGAGGAGGGTGACTTGCCCAAATGGCACCGCACCTTCCTGCCCTCCAGCTCCGTGAAACTGCCATTCAAGCCAACGCCAGGCCCACGGTCCCGTTACCCCAGATGGATGGCTTAAAATTATCCCGAGTTTTTTCTGCCGCTCATCCATTTCTGTACCTCAGCCCTGTCACCGAAAGTGCTGAAGGATACCGTCAATTCATTTGTTTTACATTAAGATGCCTTTCATGGCGATTACAGCAAGTGGAGCTTCACGCTGCATCGGAAAACTAGGAGCGGCCCCGGCTGCAGCCGAGTTTACAATCCCACAGCTTTGTTTACGGGGGCAGGTTTCTAAAATGGTCTTCAGCTTCAAAGAGTCACAGGATTCAGGAAAGAGTAGCAACTGACGCATGGCACGCTGCAATCATTCTTCAGCTGAATTACCGAAGCGCAGATATAAATACAACAGCATTTCTCTGTGTGGCAACAGCAAGTGAGCTAAACCCTCTCAAGTGGGAATGCGATTATTTATTAAAAAAAGGAGCAAAACCCCGCCAAACTTTTCAATGACATTAGAGGCTTTCATCCATTCTCTTTAGTTTAAATGTTCTAAATAGTTTTTCCTTTTCAAGATGCATAAGTAATCTGGGCACTCAATAAACATCTTTGGATTATCTAAAGAATCCCACCTATAAATGCGATCAGTACAGCATTATTTACAACTGCAATAAGAGAAAAATCTGGAAACCCTATAACAACAGGAGCATAGTTAAATAATACTTGATACTGTATCGCGAAAAGCCCTCAGAGGTTAAAGTAGGAAGACAGTGCACCAAAGGAAAACAAAATGTGCATGTTAATCATTGTTAAGTAAGCCATGAACTTTCATTTGTGCGAAATGTGTGCACGGACCAAGGACAGAAGGCAATACAGTCAGCCCTTCGCATCCCCCGGGTTCCGCATCCAACGTGGGGCTGCAGATACAAATGCTGACTGTTCTCTGCCATTTTACACGAGGGATTGAGCGTCCACGGACTGCAGTATCCGTGAGGGTCCCGGAGCTGATCCCTCGCAGATACTGAGGGACGACTGTACTGACAAATGAACACTATGGGAAGGGTGGTAAAATCTGTGGGTTAATTATCGCTTTGTCCATTTAAGAGTTCCATTAAGGTCACTGCAATCCAATCCTGGCATAAGTAACATGATATAAACAGCAAGGAGGAGGCGGAGGACAGCAGTTACGCTGAGGACCGTTCAGGGATCGGGGCGGCGCTGCAGGAGCACGCAGCGCCACCCCGTGGGGCTCGGCCGGGCAGGACAGGAGCGGCCTGCTCGCCTACCTTGCTGGATGAGTGCGTCGGCCGCCAGCTCCCCGGTGCCCACGTTGGTGTACTCCTCGTTGGGGTGTTTCCTGTTGTAGTGCCGCTTCAGGGAGCCCGAGATGTTGCATGAGTAGTGGCAATGGGCGCAGCGGAAAGGCTGCAGCGACAAGGAGGAGGGTTAGGGCCAGGCCAGCCCTGTGCGATCGAGCTCCAGCTCCCCCACCACCCTCCCACCCACCCACCCCGCAGTCCTCCTCCACGACTCTCCCACCTGGGAGCATCTGCTTCCTGGAAGGCCTGGGAGGGGCAAGCCGCCTGCTGGGAAATGCTCCAGGAAAAGAGCCAACCTGGGGCGGCTGAGTCCTGCCTCTGCAGGGACCGTCCAAGTCACCTGGCAGGGGTCGTCAGGGTCAGAGGGGTCTCTGCTAAATGAGGCTGCTCTGATTTCTTTTCTTTGCTGTCCACCCAGATTTATAGTTCTTGTTTAAGAAGAAAATAACAAAAAGCAACCCAGGAATCTATCACTTTTCTTTTCTTTTTTTTTTTTAAGTGAATGCCATTCAAGCATCTCCCCTTACCATTACTTCCCTGATGCTCCTGCTTCTTTAACTAAATGGACTCCTCCACAGCATTTACCTGCAAGCACCACGTATATACATCACTGTCCCCCCTTAGGGAAACCTGCCTGATAAAATCTATTTCCAACACCCCCACCTGGGCAAGACAAGGCTCTTTTAGGATCAGGGCACCAACGGGTCGTTCGTGCAGTCTTATCCGCCAACTTGCAACTGCTTCGGGGAATGCAGAGAGTGATGAGGGGAAGAGGCACCTGCTCAGGTCTATTGGGAGGCCCACTGAGACCCATCCACCGGCCAGGCGATGGATGGACAACCGGATCCTCGTCCTTCCCAGGCCCTTACTCCTGGTCAGGACAAAATCAAGTGTCCCTCTGAGCCATGTGCTACACAGCTATACAGCACAGGGCTATGGAAATCCCAGTTTTGCATTCAGGGCCTGTCTGGTGACACAAGCAGCTTCCTGGCCCAGCGGGAACGGAAGAGCACAGAGCGGCCCACAGGACAGCAGGGGACTCAGATGCGGCACGTTCAACTGACCCCCAGCACGGCCTAGCCGTGGAACTTCAGACAAGTAGTGAGACTCCTCTAAGCTTTGAGCCTCTCATCAATTCAAAGGGGATGATGCCACTACCTGGTGAGGCTGCGGGGAGAGTTAAGTGATCCAACATAAACGGGTATCTAAGATGCCACAGAAAGCTCCTACTGTTTTTACGATTTTACATTTACTGTTTTAGCAATTTTACACGACCCTTACTATGTCTGTGGGAGCTGATGCACCACTGTGTCTGGTGAGACCTCAGATCCACCTCGCCTTCTCAACTGTCCAAGTCATCAATATTCCTCCACTGCCACCTGGAAGAGCTAAAGCAGAACCGTGCATCTCTGAAGCGGGATGCACCGACTACGGGAAAAGTCCTCTCTTTGACACTCCAATCGGCCCCTCTCTTTCCATGGTTCTTCAAGCCTACAGATGTGCTGAAGTCTCCCCATCGAGAGAAAGAAAGAGATGGAGGAAGGGAAGAAAATGACAAGAAAAGCCATCTACCTGGGCCCTGTTTAAATCGCTCTACTCCCTGCTTGCAGGCCACCTCCCACCCCACGCTCTCGAAGCGCGGTCCTGCCTGCCGCCTCCATACCATCCCCTTCCTCTCTCAGGCCCCCCAGATCTCCCAGGCAAACCACTCCTGCGGGTACAGCCCGGTCTCCCTCTGCAGACCTCGCCCCCCTCCTTCCCCACCTCCTTCCACTGGCTGCCACCTCCCACCGTGACACGTTACATGGTGACAGCACTGTATCACCAGGTTCTCTTTCTCGCTCTGAACTTTCTCGGGTTATTTTCCTAGATCTGCTTCCCAGGCCTGAGGTGAAATGCTGACTTTCTCTAAGGTTCTGCCCTGGGGTCTGTTTTGTTCTTCCACTGTGGTCCCAATGGTCACTTTTACATGCTGATATATCCAGTTGTGATGGCTCCCAAACCACAGATAGGAATTTTCAACTGTCTTCCAGGTATCTCTACAGGGATGCTCTGGAAGCACCTCAAAATAAACACACAAAATTTCAGACTCACGATCTTTCTGCAGAATCAGCTATTCATGCAAAGACAGAAACCTGGTCGTCACCCTAGACTTTTCCTTCTCTCTTCCCACCCAACCAACTACCGAGTCTGCCCAGGCTTCCTCAGACACGTGTCCAGAGCCCTCCCCTCGCCCCTCTCATCTATCACTCCAGCACAGAGAAAGTGCTGACCTGGCCTGTAAGGGAAATGCTGTGACTCCCAGGAGAGCAGTTCTCAGACAGCAAGACTGGGGGGGGGGGGGGGGGGGCGGGGGAGGGCGGGTGTTCTCTGGTGAGCCAACCTGCTCTGAACCCTTCCCCAGGGACCCCACCCTCCGTCAAGGCCACACCGTGGTCACCGGATGCTTTGTGCTACACTGCACGTGCCACTTTCCGTCCTTCATGGAGAAGAAACCCGTGGTTTGGCCTATGAGGGCTTATTAAACAAAAGGACCTGGAACGAAGGCAAAAATTAGCCAGGCTTCTCACCTATCTACTGGGCAGAGAATAAGAGACCTAAAATGCCAACATATGATTATCTGCAAAGTTAAAATAAAAGCTAAAACCTTCTTAAGTGCTTTCAGCTCCATAAAAGCAAGTTCTATTAAATTATTTTGCAAATATTAGCATTTGCATAGAAATCAAAAAGAACCACCAAAAAACGCTCCCCTGCCGGTGCTGGGTAGTCAGTGAACACAGAGGCAGGAAGAGGCAATTAAAATGAGAAATGGTCCTACAAACCTAACTTCAGGCTTGAGAGCCAATTCCATTCTTCTTCTAGCAAAGCGGATAAACTGCCTCATGAGAGTTGCTACTCCTTTAATTCCCCACGCCTGCTCCTTGGTAGAACTGCTAATGAAAAGAAGAATGGCCAAAACGTCAGCAGACAGGCCAAAAAATATAGAGGTGAGCCCAAATGAGAAATCAGTTTCTAACCCACTGATCTCTATGAAAATCTTCAATTCTTAAAGTTAAAAGGGACACTTTCAAAGACTGACATTGACCAAGCCTCCCTCCGTGACAAAACAGCCTTCTGCAGCCTCTGACAGTCTGTGATCTCAGCCTTTGTTAGAGGCAGGGAGGTCAGACCCCTGGCCCCTTGCACTGCTGAATGGCTCCAGGGGTTTAGGAGGATAAACCTTCCCGTTCTCTTCTACTCGCTTGAAGCCGCCATCACCTTTCACACGAAATCAATCCCCACCAAGCTTCTTCTTAGGACCCTCTCTCTTTAAAAGGTGCAGCTGAGCCGCATCTGGGCCTTTCACGCCAAACAAGTTTGAACTTGTGGGGCACTGCCACGTTCCAGCAGGGAGTTCTGCTGGGGCCGTCGCTGTAGCGCAGGAGACATAGGCAAAGAAAAGCGTGGATGACGCCCCTGTACCCACCCAATGCCAGGCATAGAGTCTGACTGCATTATTAACAGTGCACATCTTGGGATTTCGCTTATGGAGCATGTATTTACTGACCTCCTGCTATGAGTCAGACATTGTTCTCTCACCCTGGGGACATAGTAAATGAATGAGAGATTCGTGATCCCCTGAATACACAAGAGTGTGGGGACTTAACATATCAACTGCAAAGATTAAATGTCATCTAGGCAAACTAGATCACAAAACTTGTTTCCTAAGTCTAATTACTTGCAGATAGCATAGGACGCTACATCTCAAAGGGAAGTTATTTATCGAGAGCTCTCAGGCCAGAATCCAGCCAAGAGTTATGAGGAAAATATATGCAGGCTATAGTCCCGTAGTGCATGTGAGACAGAACATTCAAAAAGAAAGTGGATCGAAAACAAGGCAGAAACCCGCTGTCATGCCTACAACGCAGTGTTGCACTAGATTTGTTAAGTAACGTGACCTAACATAATAACTATTTTAGCTCACCTTCACTGATAGCTATCATATGCCAGAGAGTTCTAAGTTCTGCATGGATTAGTTCCTGGAAATCTCACAACCTCCTCATGTGGCAGGTACAACTGTTATCTCCATTTTACAGATAAGAAACTGACATGTAAAAGGGCTAAGGAATTTGCCCAAAGTTTCAGTCTCCCAGCCTGACCACTTGGTCTGCACTGGATTTGGGGCCCAAGACCAGCCAGCAATGAAGAGATGATGTGACTCCCCGTCTGTCATTTCCTGAACATCTATCTTCCCTGGGAGGGGCATGGTTTGGTTTGCTGGGATTTTCTAGATATAAGGCAGCCCACATCTCACCATCAACTTCTACACATGAGGACCGCCACGGTGAGCTGGGAGGAATGCTGGCCGTTCCTGGGGGGCAGGGACGAGGCAGGGATGGGTGGAAGCCAAGAAGAGGGCAGACACAGCCAGGTCACAGTGGGACGTGCGCTGAATCAGGAAATGAGGTTTTTAGGAGATGGGGTTTCCAGTGGGTATCGAGCAGGGGGTGACATGCCAACTTCACAGTGTTCACTCTGGAAATTAACAGAGGGTGGAAAGGAACAAGACTGAAGGCAGGGAATCAACTGTCCAGTTGCTACAGGGGTGTAGACAAAAGATCTAGAGGCCTAAAATGAGAGAGTGGAACAAAAAAAATGGGAAAGGAAGAGGGAGTTTAAGAGAGATGGAGGAGGAAAGATCAGCCGACCTGAAGATGGAGATGCAGTGTGAGAAGACAGAGACAGAGAGCCTCAGGATGACTCCCAAGTTTCCAGCGCGGATGACACAGGAGGAAGGTATCCGGGCAGCCGTGGAGGAAGTTCTACAGATACGGAGAGAAAGAGGGAGGACGCAGAGCCCTGGACATCCAGGAGGGCAGGTCCAGAAAGCATTTGAAGATATAAGGTGTTCGGAGTCTGAAGTTCAGAGGACAGTTCTGGGCTAGAGGTACAGATGTGAGCACGGGCAGCCAGAGAGTGCCCTAGGACAGAACACACCCATTGTCGGTGAGTGTGCAAAGTGATAAGACAAGTGGCCTTAGAACAGCACCCGGGAACACAGGAACAGCAAGAGAGGAGCTCGTGAGGAAGGACAAGAAAGAATGGCAGCAGGCAGAAGAATCAGGG